ACAGCTGAGGGGAGCAGCGGGGAGACAGGGGTCTGAGGGGTGAAATGGCATCTGGTCCTGACCTTGGGCATCGCTTGAGAGCTGGACACCCTGGTCGCTTGCCTCGGGCCTAAGCACAGGGCCATGGAGCCTCAGCTGGGGTCCCCAGCACCCTAGAGACATTAAGGGGCAGGCGCTGTCTGTGGAGGTGCACGGCCTCCAGGCTGGCACCAACACTTCTCTTCCAGGGCAGAGGTTGCTGGGGGGAGGAGAATGAAATCAGGGAGCAAAACCATGGCACTAGTACCTCTCCCTGCTGCCAAGGCCTTACCAGGGACTCTGGCTGTTCCCAGGCCTCATCTGGAGACTCCGCAGGGCCACACCCTCAGCCCTTTCTGTGCACGTTTGGCTGGGGAACCCTGGCGTGGGCCAGGAGCCTGGTGTCTGGCCTGACACGGAGCCTGGAGGGGCTGCCAGCCCCACTGATGTGGGTTGGGAGAGGTCGTGGGCCCCTGGGGTTGCCCTGAGTCAACTCCCACCAGAGCTCCCCTTTCAGCGGCACGCGGGACTATCCCCAGGAGAGTTCCCCACGGGCACAGGTGTTGATGCCATCCAAGGGGCAGGTCTATGTTAAGGAAAGAGAAGGGACATGAAGGACTTTGCACAGACACGAGAGGGCAGAAAGAGCTGCCCCTGAAGGGCCCTGTGTGTTAACAGAGATGGCTGCCAGGCCCAGGTGGGCAGGGCAGCTGCCTCCTGCCGGGCGAGTCTTCTTCTCTGTGGGAGGGCTCGTTCCTGTGGGCCTGGGCCCTGCTCTGGACTTCATTATGGCTGGGTTGGCGCCCAGGGATCTTTTCTACATGAGATTGGGATGGGGAGATTTGAAAGGACCAGTGGGTTTTTGACAATGGCCCCCAGCCTCCACATCCCCACCTCCGGCCCGAACCCCGGTCTGCGCCTCCAGGTACTCACTGTTCCAGAGAGCTTGTTGGATGGCTGTGGCCAAACTTTCTCCCCCCACCTCCGGGCTCTGGTCTTGTGATGTCTCCTTCCCGCATGTTCTACTCTTCGCCTCCACTGCCATGACTGATCTGCATTTTCTCACCTGCAGAACCAGGGCTCTGACCAGCTGACAGGATTCTCAAGGTCACCTGTGGCTCTGAGTGTCCAACACAGCCTGGAGGATGGTCAGGTCTTTAGCTCACGTGCTTGGTGAAAGTGCGTCTTTCCACAGCCAGCAGGTGGCAGCAAAGCCCTGCCCTGAGGGACCTGTGGGCCAGGGGGTGCTCAGTCTCCAGTCTCTGGGGCTCCAAGTCCAGGACTGGTGGCGCGGGGCCCTGCTGATGGAAATGACAGCAGCAGCAGCAGCAGCAGCGTCTTTATTGAGAGTTCCACGGGCGCTCCCATACGTGGCTCCTGGGAACATTGCTCCCTGGGATGCTCAGTGTCTAAGGAAAGGTTCCTGGGTCCCATCCAGAATGGGAAATGCTGCCTTCCAGAGCACCCCTCCCGCTCTGAGGGGTGTGGACATAGTTCCTGCCAGGATCAGAGAAATCCTTGAAGTGAAGCCACGAGTTCAACTTCATTTAACCCAGAGAATGCACCCCCCCCCAACTATTTCTTTTTAAAAAGGCAAGACCCTCCCCACCTCTCTCCCAGCTCAGTCTCTGCTGTTGGCACCCCACAGACTTAGTAACAGTCTCTGGAAACAGGAATGCACTCTGGCTCTGGGTAGGGGGTCCTCCAGGCTGGCATGGGCCTGAGGTGCTGCCAGGGACCTTCCACACTCACAGCCTCCTCTGCCTGCCTCACGTGAGCTTTCACTTTGGCCTGCAGCCTGTCCACCAGGTCCTGGAGCCGGAGGACGGCCTTGCGGTCCTCCTCAGCAGGCAACCAGAGCATCGTGTTCGGGTCCCCAATCCATTGCTGCTTCTCTGGGGTCTGATCCTCAGAGCAATTGCTGACTTTTTTATTTTTTAAATAAATCTGTAATTTATTATTTTTTAAGGATTTATTTATTTATGCATACAAGAGCTGGGGTGCAGGCCAGAGGTGCAGGGGGTGAAAGGACTCACCAAAGACAGAGTGGGAGCAGAACAGATGTATTGACTGAAACACACTGCTGAGGGGAGCAGCGGGGAGACAGGAGAGGCCTGCTGCACCATGTGGGTAGCTTCCTGGCCAGGGATCCAACTCACGCTGCAGTGCCTTCAGACAGCTTCATAGTGCTGAGACGTAGCCCCTTGCACCACCAGGGATGCCCCAGTTGCTGACGTTTGTGGGCCCTCTACCTGGTAAGTCATCTCCTTGACCTTGTGTTCATCTCTGGGGGCCGCCTTCAGAGCCTCAGCTCCCCTCCTCTGCCTCCAGCTCATGTCCCAGCTCCTGCACCTGGGCGTGGCGAGAGAACTTGGCATCCAAGTCAGCTCTCCGGGGCTTTTCTCAAGGCCTCACTTGAGCTGAGCTCCCCTGTGCAGGGGAGAATAGAGAGTCGTTTCCGGCCGAGGCAGCCAGGTGCACACAGCGCGGCTCAGAGACAGGCTCTGCCAGATGCCCCTTCCCTGGGCCAGGGCACCTTGGTCAGGGCTGTGCTTTCTGGAAGCTGCACCCCGATCCACGTGGCCTGGACGGTTGGCCCAGGAAGGCAGCAGGGTGATGGAGGGAGCAGGGTGATGGAGGGGCGCGCTGCCGATTCGGGGTAACTCAGCAGGACCTGGAAGGGCTGGAGAGACCATCCTGGGCGCCGCCTGGGCGCCGGGCTTGGGGATCTGGGTGCGCGCTGAGGGTCTCGGGGTGAGCGGCTGTGCACGTGGCTGCGCGAACCTCCTCTGCCCCCCGCCGGCCGGCGGGAGCCCGGCTTCCGGCCTGGGGGCGCCCCTTTCCAGGTCTTGTTTCTTTTCTTGTTCTCCGGATTTCTACACTTTTGTGGTGACCTAACGCGTGAGGGGGGTGCTCGGCCCGCCCGCTGCTCCCCGCCCGACTGCCCGCAGCGCCTGGTCCCGCTGCCCCGGGCGCATCCGCCACCCCATACCCCCGCCGCGTCCCCCTCCCCCTCCCTCCTCCCTCCCCACCCCCCCACTCCCCCACCCCTCACTCCCTTACTCTTCTCACTCCCCCTCCCCCAGCTCACACCTCCCTCCAGCGGGTCTCGCCTCCGCCCCCTTCAGCTTCCCTGTGAGGTGCAGCTGCTATTGGGGGGCGGGGGGCGGGCAAAGCGCATCCTGGGCACTCAGCGGCTTTTGGGGCTGTTAATGACCTTTTTGCACCATTTGCCATGCAGTGACAGGCGGAGGGGGGGCGAGGGGCTCGCGCTGTCTCTCCTGCCGCTCTCCGGACTCGGGCTCCCTCTCCGGCCCCTCGCTCCCCCGCCCGTGGATCCTTCTGGGGTGCCCCCGACGCCGCCCCACCTGAGTCTGCTGGTCGCGGGGCGCCGCGGGCTCTGGGGCGTCCCGGCCGGGCTGCTCTGCCTCCCTCGGTGGAGACGCGGGGCGCGGCCCTCCCGGCCAGGGAGCCATGGGGCTCGGGGCCAGCGCCCTGCTCGGGGTATTCCTCCTGCTGTGGCCGTGGGGCTGCTCCTGGGTGTCCGCGGCCCCCAAGACAACGTCGACCCGGGCCCGGGCGCCCCACCTCGGTGAGTACCCGGGGCGCGCACTGGGGGTGCGGGTGAAGGGGGGGGCCGGGAGGGGCTAAAGCCCTGGAGTGGGGGAGAGCAGAACCCTGGGGGTCCGGAACCCCGTCTGCAGCCACAGGGTGGCACCGCCCGCTCGGTCCCCCTTTTCTCTTCGCATGAATGGGGCGGGGTGCATGGGGGGGTGTTTCTTCTCTCCTGAGAAGACCCCACAGTGCAAAAAAGTGGCACAGAGGACAGGACAGGGAGGAGCGGGGAGCAGGACATGGGAAATTCTCCTGCACCCCGCACCAGCCCATCGGGAGTGGAAGTCCAGCCCCGCCCCCCACTGGGACCTGGCCTGGACTGGGGTGATCCCGCAAAGACAGGGTCCTGCGCCCAAAGATCAAATAATCCAGCTCCCCCAGCCTCTTCCTGCCAAAGCTGCCCCTCCCCCACCCGCCATGCTGCCTCCCCCCTCCTCCCAGGGATCCCCCTCCTTCCAGGGTCTGGGCCCTGATCACCCCCAGCCCCAGGAGGCCACACCTGCTCCCCCCCAGGACAGTCCAGGGAAAGCTCTGGGCCAGGGTAGGGGTGGGCAGGCAGGAGCAGTTCCCAGACACCCCCTGTGTGAGGGTGAGGAAGGACACCCGCGGCCACCCTTTGGCCCAACCCCAAGTGTCCATTCCCAGGGGACAGGCTTCCTGAGGGGCACAGAGGGCGTGGGGTCCCCACCCTTCTCTGTGGGGAAGGTGCTGTCTGCATGTCAGGGGCACTCAGTGTGCGCCCAGCTGCCCCTCCCCTGGGAGCACAGAGGCCCTGGGACACCTGCAAAGGCCCAGGGGCCAGACCTGGCCTCCTCCTGGGGTGCTGGCCTCAGGGGGGTCCTCCCCTCAGCTCCCTCCACAGGCTGCCTGGGGCTTCTGGCTGCAGGGACGCTGCCAGGTTGGGACCTGGGGTTCTCAGCCACTGCCCCTCCTCTCTGGGAGGGTTCCTGGCCCCCTGCACCCTGAGGGAGTCCGCAGGAGCCACACAGGGGAGCTGAGTTGGGTGCTCAGCATGTCTGGTGTCGGGTCTGGTCACCTGTTGTGTGGCTTATTAGTTCCCGAGGGCCTGCCCGTGCCCGTGCCAGAGTCACCTCTGCCAGGAGCTCTGGGCCTGCCTGACCTCGCCACAGACACTCAGGTGATCCTGAGGCACAAGGACTCTCCATCTTCAGCTCACACCCCTCCTTGTGCCCCGTCCCCATGGCCCAAGGCCTCATCTCTACCAACTCCAGGGGCTGTTTAAATGCTGTGACCCCTCACCCCTTCAGAGAACCCCCTGTGTCTCAGACGTGGGGGAGGATGCGTGAGGGCCTCTTCTTTCAGTCCTGCCCTCACCTGGGCATTTCCTTCTCCCCTGCAGACTCTCTCAGGGTTAGCATCACCGTCACTCCTATCCCTGGACCTCGGCCGCCACGGTGTGAGGCTGAAGTTGAGGTGCAGGGGGAGCCCTGTTTTTCCTATGACTGCCAGAGCCATGAGGTCACGCCCTTCTGTGCTCAGGGGAAGAAGGTGGAGGCACCACTCATGAAGGACCTGAGAGAAATTCTGGAAGACCTGACTGAGAAGTTCAAGGAGAAGCTTCTTGACAGTGACCCAGAGGATCCCCGAGGCAGCGGTGAGGGTGAGGCCCAGGGAGGGGGACGCGTGTGGGTTGGGGCGCTGTCGTGGGGAAGTGAAAGTCTCCTGTGGCAGCACCAGGGAGGACACGGGGCAGAGCAGGGCAGGGGTCGGGACCAGGGCCGTGGGCACCGGGGGCAGAGACCGAGCCCTCTCCCCGGGCAGCGCCCCTCTCCCTGCAGGCCACGCTGGAGATCCAGGAGGAGGCCGGGGGGCGCCGCCGAGGGTCCTGGCAGCTCGTCTTCCGTGGAAGCGTCTCCCTGCGCCTGGACTTGGGTACCAGAGCCTGGACGGCGGGTCGCCCTGGAGACAGGTGGATGCTGGAGAAGTGGGGGGAGGACACGGACATGGACACGTTTCTCTGGAGGACGTCCCGGGGGGCCTGGGGGACGTGGCTGCAGGAGGTTGCAATGCACTGGGGGACGCCTGGGACCACAGGTAATGTGGGGTGGAGAGGAGGGGTGGGGTTCTCAGATGAGTGTGTGTGTGTGTGTGTGTGTGTATGTGAGTGTGTGTGTGAGTGTGTGCAGGCATGTTGGGGAGTGCCCGCCCTCCTGAGATCTTCTCAGGAGACAGCGGCTGGGACACAGCTGTGCTCGGCCTCCTCCTGTCCCCTGTCCCCTCCTGACACCCCGTCCTCTCTGCAGCACCTCTGTTCCCTCCACGGACTGTTTGCTGACCCAGACCTGGGGCGTCTTTCTGTGTCCAGACCTTTCTCCCGCTGCGCCCTCCTCAGCCTCTCTGTTCTTCTCCTCTGCCCTGGTCTGTGTCTGGAAAGTCTTCCGTCCCCCTCAGCGCCAGCTCCTGAGAGGTGTCTCTGTCACCTCCTTGTGTCCCTGCGCCTCTGTCCCAGCAGGAGAGACTGGGGGGTGAGCCCCTCGCTCCCCCTGAGCTCTGAGACCCTGGGACGGGACCGGCTCTGTCTGTATGTCCAGGATGCGCTGTAGGGGCTGCCAGAGGGAAGCAAATTTCTGAATTTGGGGTACCTGGTAGGGAGTTCTCTGCTTATGGGGTCTGGAGCAAGGTTTCACTGTGATTTCCCAATTCAGTGCCACCGAGCACGACCCCAGGCACATCTGGAACCACGAGTACCTTGCAGGGGCCCTGGGTTATCTCTGGGATCATCCTCGCCTGCGCCATCCTATCTGGCATCATCATGTGCTTTATAACATGGAAGGTACCGTGTGCAGGATGAGGGGATGGGAGGGGACAGGTGTGAGGGGGACCCAGGATCCCCAGGCGGGCCCCTCCCCTCCCTGCCCCTGCTCCTGGGGAAGGAGAGCAGGCAGGAAGGGTTTGTGTCACTGGAGCAGGGACTGGGCCAAGTTGGGCCCTGAGAGCTGAGCCCCCTCCTGTAGAGCCCGCGGTGGGGAGGGGCCACCGGGCTCAGGGCCTGTGGGTGTCTGAGGATGTAGCGGGTCCCTCCTGCCTTGGGGCAGATGTCTGCTGGGGCGGGGCCCCTGGAGGGTGGAGGGGGCAGCAGGCACAGGTCCTGGTTGTCCAAGGCTTTGCTGGGGTCGCCAAACAGCGGCATGGGGTCCCTACATGATGTGTCAAGGGCGGGAGGCTCCATTCAGGGGCTCAGAGGAGATGGCCTGGGTCTAATCCCTGGACAAGGGGTGAGGAGACCTCGGAGACAGACCCAACAGTCTGGAGATTGGGCTACTGCCCCACTGATAGCAGCTTGGATGGTGCAGGCAGTGGGAGGGGACAGCAGCGATGGTGGGGGAGCAGGTCAGAAAGGCCCTAATTGAGGAGCCCCAGGGATCCTGGCTCAGCCCTGTGCTGTCACCTGGCAGCCAGCCTCCCGCAGACCCCAGGCCTCCAGGAAGCTGCCCCTGCTTTGAGCAGAGGTGACCAGAGGATGGAGGCTCTGCTGTTGGGGGTGGGGGTGGGGGTGTGGGCACTGACAGCTGGGCTGGATGGGACAGAAGGGGTGTGGGACCCTTAGAGCCTGTGTGCACCCCCAGTGTAAGGAGCGGCTGAGACCCAGGGAAGAAACTCTTAGCCGCAGCCTCCCAGGCCTGAGGGAGCCACAGCCAGGCCGCCCTCTCAGGGGCTCCCAGTCTGACCTCAGCAGCAGGCACAGGCAGTTCCCTGAGCCTGGAGTCCTGACCCCCCTCAGCCTGGGGCTGGCTCTGCTGTGGGAAGGAGGGAGGAGGCTCCACAGGCTGCAGCCCAGGGAGGGCGGGGCTTGGGGATCTGGTGACTGTGGAGGGGCAGACCCAGGAGAAGGGACCCAGGATTCCCTCAGCCACTGGCACAAACCAGAGTTTCCTTTCTGATGCAGAGATGCTGTAAGGAGCACCGGAAAGTGTGGATTACTGGGCACTGCCCCTTCTTGAGCACCTGTCTCTCTCCAGCTGCTAGTCCTGACTCTGGAGCTTCAGTCCTGCAGCAACTGCAGACACCTGCTGAGAGGGGCTGACCCAGGGGAGGCCACAGTCAGCTTCTTTCTTGTTTGGGGATCACCCAGTGCTGCATCCTCCCCCCAGTGGCCCCTTCTCCTGGCACTGATTGTGGGCATCTCTGCACTTGAGCATCTCCGTACTTGAAGGACACTTTTCGAAGCTGAGGTCATTTTCCACCTTTACCTCTACTGTGAAAATCAGACACATCTCTGCATCGTCACCTTCCTCTGACAAATGATGTGTCTGGTAAAGCCTGGTGTGACCTTCAAACCTTGGGGATCCTTCCTAGGTTGGCAGGGGTGGGTTCTCGGGCACCTCCTCGCTTGTCCACGCCATCAGTGACCTTCCTGTGCTGAGGGATCCTGCTGCTCCTCCTGCAGGTGTCTAATTAGGACAGTGATTCAGTGTCTAGAAAGTACAATGGAATCAGGCCCCAAAGTGATCAGGCCCCTATCACGTCAATGACAGCACGTAGCACAGAGGACAAGTGATCCAGGCACACTTTACCCCAAGGGCTGCGTGCAGTGTGAGCACAAGGTAACGCAGGCAGGCAGCTGTATAGCCTGGCAGGGGGATGCCATATTGTGGGAGGAGCCCAGTGCCCCTGGACTGGGTGGTGTGAAATGGGTTCACACAGTGATTCAGCTCATAGAGCAGCCACGGGAGGGAGCTCCTGCTATTTCATCTTCTGCCCAGTGCCAAGGGTTCAGCTATTTTAAATATGCCAAATTTCATGGATGCACAGGGTTAGCTTTTGTATTTAAAATTTGCATTAGGGCCTCCCCTGGTGGCCCAGCAGTTGAGCTCTGGGCTGCAAAGCTGCCTGCAGCCTCTGCAGCACCTGTTAGATCCCTGGCCACTGGCGAGGGTCCCACATGGTGCGCAGACCTCTCCTGCCGCGCCCACTGCTCCCCTCAGCAGTGTATTTCATCAGTCTGCCTGTTTTGTTCCCTGCTCTGGCTCTGGTGAATTCTCTCACCCTCCTGAGCTTCTGACTGTACCCAGTGCTTGTATGAATAAATAAATAAATCTTTAAAAAAAATAAAATTTGCATTAATTCTTTGGGAGATTTCCCACCTAGTAGTGTATTTTCCACCCGTGATGCTTCACATTTACTCCCAAAACTTTGGAAAATTTAAAACGTCCTATTTATTTGTAGGAGCTCTTTATGAATGAGGAAGCTAGAAAGTGGGTACAGGTAGGTATTTTGGAAAAGGGGTGCCCCAGGCCCCCGCCCAGATGTCCCGAGATCATTTATCAGTCTGAATAAGGAACAGTTGATGGAATTCAGGGACCCCCAATCCCATTAAAAATTCAATGTTTAGGGGCCTCCCTGGTGGCTCAAGGGTTAAGACACAACTATGAAGCAAGCCACAGCCACTGCAGCAGGAGTTCGATTCCCCGCCAGGGAGCTACCCACATGGCAAAGCAGACCTCTCCTGCCTCACCCGCTGCTGCCCTCAGCAGTGCATTTCAGTCTATCTGCCTGTTCTGCTCCCCGCTCTTCTCTGGTGAATCCTCTCACCCCCACACCTATGGCCTGTACCCCAGCTCTTATATGCATAAATAAATCTTTATTAAAGACATGCCAACACCCCTCCTGGAGTGTTGAGAACGCCTGCTCAGCAACACAGAGCTGAGGCCCGGGGCCAGAGCTGGCTTCTGGAAGGCAGGCCAGGTAACCTGGGGACTCTGCCTAGGAGACTTACAAGTCCTTCCTATTTATCAATAAATTGCCTTGCTTTTCTGCCATAGATCAGCCCAGCGGCGGCGGGAGATCGAGACAGTCTCTGGGTTGAGTGAGAACGAGCAAAAGGTGGTCGAAGGAATTAGGGCGAGGGACAAGAATGACACACAGACACACTCAAGGGAGAGTGAAAATCTGAGTGCAATTTATTGAAAGCAGCATGTTCTTTTTATACATTTTCATAGACATTGTACATTATGTGGTTAATCATACACCAAATCATTACATGCAGTGAAACATAACGAAGACAATACTAAATCTAGATTCTGATCACAAGCATTGATGAATCAGATACATACTGAGACCTCTGCAAGAGATCCCATTTTTCTCTATGCTATTCATGACCCTTAGGTTTTGGTAATTAACCCTAGCTTAACCATTAACTCAACTATTCAGAATTCTCTTGTACTTAGGATCTATGTTGACCTACATATTTTTGTTTTTACTGTGACTGTTTTAACCTAATTCCATTATTCTAGGCTCCCCACACCCACCAGATTCCTAATGCATTTTCTGTAAGCAGTCAAACTAGTTTTACAGTAATGGTGTGACCTCAGCAAATTGAGCAATGCTATTGTCTTCTAGCAGTTATTTTCCATAGAGTTAAAAAAGGGGGGACACTTATAAATCCCTTCCGGGACTGCGCCTGTCTTAGGTTGTCAGGAGTCACAAACCGAGGGTCTGTTCCTGATCTTACCCGTCATTGGCTGACCAGTCCAGCGCACAGGGGAAGAGGGTCTTATGTACTCTATCTGTGATCATCCACAGTACAGCCACTCTTTATTTCATCCAATTACTGGCGATCAATGTTGGCAACAGTGGCATTGCCAACCATGGAGGCAGGAGCTGCCACACTTTTCTGTACCTTGGTCTCCACAACTAATTCTTTACTGACTATAGAGAAGAACCAGGGCCGCCCCCTAGGGGTCCAAGAACCCACAAAACCTATATTAATACAAGATCTGATAAACGCTGTTGTTCAGTCCTCTGCGATAATTAGAATTTCCTTGGAACCTGGCTGAGGGAGTGTTCTCATGTGGGGGCGCACACCCTCAAGAACCATCTGTGGACACAACACCCCTGACCCCATGACTGAAACCTGTCCCCGCTAGTTAATCACGTGGTCAGTCCAGCCACCCCGTGGGGAAGCCCTAGTGCCTCCTTGTCCTGGCCCTTATGAGGCAGTGAGTGTGGCAGGGAGAGGGGAGAGGAAGATTGGGGGTCTAGACCCCCG